GTTCGCAATTTGTTTCCAATATTGAAAAATTATTTTTTAACATTAAATTTATTTCCATCTGTGCCACCGTCAACTGATGAACATCAACTTAAAAATCAAAAAATATCAACAAGAATATACGTTTTATTGCTCACCCTATCAATAACAATTCTTCTCTTATACACATCATTAGCCAACGTTACAATAACTACCAATGTTGAAACACCTACTCTCACAAAATATGAACAATTATACTCAAAATATTCACAAACTCTTACTTGTCCATGTAAACATATATCAGTCAACTATCAAAAATTTCTTTCTATTGAGTATACATTTCATCAAATATGCACCAGTGTTTTCATTACCGACGAATGGATTTCATATCTGATGATGTGTAATGAATCTACAGCCGCTAATATAAATTTTCAATGGACAGGTTCAAATGCATTTCAAGCTCTAGGTGCATTTTGTGAATTAATCGAAAGTACAATTAATAATAGTCTGATTCAATTTAATTCAAGTCAATATATTACTGCATCTATCGCATCATTAGAATTATTCACGTCACAAGCTCAATCATTCGTTGATCAGTTCATATCAGCAACAACAAATACATTTGTATCATCTCTTAATACTGTCCGAAACTCAACTCACGGAGATAGTTTAGTCTCTGGCTTATTGACAAATTACTTAATAAGCGTAGGTACATCCGTGTCTAATGAAGCTATTGTTCTTACCGGTTCAGTAAGTTACTCTAACTGTGGTTGTGAACGATCAAGTACATGTATCGCACAATCTTCCATTTTGAGTAGCCAGGCTAATATGGGAACGTTTTATGTACCAGGTTTCTATACAGGATGCTATGTAGTTGAAGCACTACTTCAATCTACTCTTCGATGCTTTTATGACCAAAATTGTATAAATGAATTACAACTTTACTTACCAACTGCTTCGCTAATCAATGCAAAAGCTCTTAACTCATCTTTACCAAGTCAATATTCTGAAGATTCAACAATTGAATATCTTCTTAATAGTTTAATGATCGAAGAATGGAAATCAACACAAATGTATGGTCAGTATTATGATGAATGTCAACCTATAGAATGTACTTATACTATTAGAACAAGAAATAGCGTAATTTACATTATTACCACTATTTTTGGCATTATTGGTGGTCTTATAACAGTTCTACGTTGCGTTGTACCACAAGTGGTCAAGTTTGTGAGAAAGAAGAAAGACTTAACACAACCGCTCATCGGTAAGTCATAGTCGAACAAAGCATCTTGAGAGTGCGGTGTGGGTGAGGATGTAAAAGTAGATTAGATACACCCACCTACACCGATACTCTCAGATAATTATGAGTAATCGGAAAAACATTGCTATATTGAGGTGTAGATATTAAACAATTTACAAAGATCTTTTTGTTTTAAAATCTATACAGGCGAACAAATTGAATTTTATAAATTAAACTTAATAACTATTTTATTTATTTTTTTAAGTGATGAATAAAAAGGAACGTGCTATGATATTGTGGCGAAAATGCACAAACTTGTTGTTCAATTTTAATTTATTTCCATCCGTGCCACCTTCAACGGACGATCATAAACTTCGAACTCAACGAATATCAACAAGATTATATATTTTATTGCTTATCCTATCATCAACAATTCTTCTTTTATACACTTCATTAGAAAATGTTACACTGACTGTTAATATCGCAACACCTACTCTCACAAAATACGAACAATTATACTCAAAATATTCACAAACTCTTACTTGTCCATGTCAACATATATCAATCAACTATGAAAAGTTTCTTTCTATTGAATATACATTTCATCAAGTATGCACCAGTTTTTTTATCACTAACGATTGGATTTCATATATTGATGTACCTCCTACAGGTTATTTTGTTAGCGGCGACTTTCGAGTAACAGGTCCATATCAGTTTGGAACTTTACGTGCATTTTGTGAGCTAATTAATAGTACGATGTCTTACAGTTTGATTCAATTTAATTCACAACAATATATCACCGCCTTTGTTACACCATCAGACTTATTTCAGTCACAAGTTCAATCATTTATTGATCAGTTTAAATTATCAACAACAAACAATTTTTTATTATCTCTTAATATGAGCAGAAAGATCATTCAAGGAAATGTTTTACTTTCTGGAAAGCAAACAAATTACAAACTAAACAAGGTAAACAAAACTTCTGTTTTAAGCACAACTAGCCGAATTTACGACAGCTGCATTTGTACTTTATCAAACACATGTATCGATAATTCTTCCCTTTTTAATGGTCCTTATCTTTACAGAGTTTTCAATGTAACAGGTTTCCATGTAGGATGTTATACGACTGAAGCATTGCTTCGATCTACTCTCGAATGCTTTTATAATCAAACCTGTATAGATGTATTGCAATATTATTTGTTACCACGTGTTCTCATGAATATAACAGCTCTGAACTCATCTTTACCAAGTCAATATTCTCAAGATTCAACAATTGAATATCTTCTTAATAATTTAATGATCGAAGAATGGAATCCAACACAAATGTATGCTCAGTACTATAATGAATGTCAACCTATAGAATGCACTTATACTATTAGAACAAGAAACAATATATTTTATGTTATCACCACATTAATTGGTATAATTGGTGGATTGACAAGAGTTTCAAAAATTCTCGTACCAATATTAGTTAAAATCATCGTATATTGCTTTCGAAAATGGAGAAACAGAGTTGTTCCACAAATATCAATTATTCAAACGTGATTTTTTTCTTCGCAGCGATTAATCATGTGTTCTATCAGAAACTGATGTGCAAATGAACAAGTTAAGCAGTTGTTAGACTGAAAGCTTTTAAATGACATTTTTTTTTCTTTTTTTTGTACTAGTTAAAAGACTTTACAAATAACAAATAAAAAAAATTAACTCTTGAGATTGAGTGTGGATGTGATAGTATTATTCATCGCCCAATCACAGCCACATTCATTGTATTTCCAGTCAATTGTTATTCACTAGCAGAACAAAGATGTTCAGCATGGATATCATTGTTTATTATGTCTAGTGACAGATAGATTACGGGCACCATGTTAGTTAGAAATCAAATTCTAGGGTAAACTTCATCTTTTATTCGTAAAAATGAATATTTTTAAGAAGAATGAATTTGACTTGAGAAAATATCAAATTTACTTAAATAAAATAATACATATGAAGTATAGGATGATTTATTTTTATTAAATCAAAAGAAGTATTTATGTCTATGGTTATAATTATCGTACTAAAGATGATTGATAAAAATAGATTACTCACAACTGAAAATTATACATTATTAATTTCTTTTGATTTAATATAAATGAATCATCCTACATTCCATTTACGTTATTTTATTAATTAAACGATTTTATCAACAAATTTTTTTCATATTATATAAAGTTATTTCCTTGTTGATTACATCAATCTTACTGAAATAGAAAATTAGAGGAAAAAAAACTAATATACACTTGTCGTTTAAGTTAAATTGCAAAAAGAAATATTAGACTCAATAATATTCTAGTTTCGACATATATCGAGTATACAATAAAAGAAAGAAATTATTAATAATTGTCGCTGTATAATATGATTCACTGTATGTCTCTAAATCCTTATAGTTATCATTTAAACTGATTTTGACGAAATATTTTGAGAATCGCCAACCTTTAAATTTCATAATACTTTTATAATTTAATAATCATTTGAACATTTATTTAAAGACATTCATATCACTTTCTTTCGAAGAAAAACACTTAATGAATATAAACTGTGTGACTATACATAAACAAAAAAACAAATCTAATCTTCATTTTGAAGATATTCATGATATTCTCCACTCATTTTACTCTCTTTAACTTTCAACAATTTTTTATGATAAAAACAATATCCGAAGTAATCTATATTGTCAGGAAATTAATTCTTTTTTTGACAAAATTAAAATGAGAGATGTTTTCATGTATAAATATTAATAGTTTTTTTTTCATATTTTTACTCAAAACTGTTTGCTTTAAATAGATAGATCACAATGACGTATCAATTACTGGTTATCATAGTTGTTATTAATGCTATTGGATTTATTAATTCGACAATATGTAAGAACTTTAAACTATCTATATTGATTTTGAAGAAGATTTCATTTAATTTTAGTATATGTTAATGTATCATTCACTGCAGTTTGGGCTGAAAATGCAATAACAGTAGCAGGATTATCGAATGGTACAGCTGGAACATTAAATAATACTCTCAATTCTCCTCGTGGTTTAAGTATTTCAAGTGATGATATTTTATATATAGCTGAATGGAGAAATGCTCGAATAGTAGTAGTTAATTTAACTAGTTTACAAGTTATTAATATCATTGGATCAGGTTCAGGTAGTGCAATGTATCAGTTTGATCATTCTTATGACGTTATGATTGTCAATCAATCATTATACGTATATGATTCATGGAACCACCGGATACAAGAATGGTCAAGAAATGGTACGAATCCATCGACTATATTAACAGGAAACTTTGGTCATGGTTTTCATGAATTTAAAGATAAAAATAATAACTTATACATAAGTGTATATGATAGTCATGTTGTATTACGATTTGCACCAAATTCACAAACTGCAATAACAATTGCTGGTACTGGAGTTGCTGGAACTTTATCAAGTCAATTGAATTCACCTAATGGGATATTTGTTGACGATGATCTTACTTTATATATTGCTGAACATAAAAATCATCGCATTTCAATGTGGAAATATGGATCACTTTCTGGAATCACAGTTGCTGGAACTGGAATAGCTGGTAGTAGTTTACAACAACTCAATGAACCTACTGATGTTGTTGTAGATCCATACGGATATATGTATATTACTGAAGAAGGAAATAATCGAATTGTTCGATGGAAACTTGGTTCTGACTCTGGCACTTGCATAGCAGCTTGTACTGGTATCAATGGAACTCGAATGAATCAGTTATATGCTCCTGTTAGCATTGCATTTGATAGTACCGGTTCATTATATACTAGTGATTATTTTAATAATAGAGTACAAAAATTTCAATTTCTGTATAATGCAAGTAAGAATATGATTATTTTATTATTAGAAAAAGATTCTCTTCTAAAATTTTCTTAGATCAAACAACAACTACAGGTCAATCGATTGCAACAGGTAATTTACAAAAGAAAAGGATTATTTAGATCTTACATTATTTGATCACTAATGAACATATAATTTTATTCTTAGTACCGACTTCATCAACCTTACGTATTACAACAAAATCGACTGCAAAAATAACAACAACAAAGCGCCGTTTAATCACGACTCCGACAAATAATAATCAAGAAATATCAGCATCTTTTACAATATCTGGAACAACAATTATGGGATGTTATCTTATATTTATGGCTCTATATTATAACTACTAATAATGAATTCTACATTATTCATAAACTATAAAATATTGAACACTTAAAATTAAAATTTAAAATAAAAGAAACATTATCATTCAATTAATAGTTACAAATAAAGCTTTTGTCATAGAATCTTGAGGGTATGAGTGTCTCTTCTTCTCTATCATCCTCACCTACACCCACCCACACCCTGTTCACTACTACTACCATTCATATATTTTACGATCATGTGCACAATATTAATAATAAAAATGAAAATAAAGTTAAACAATAACAAGATGAATGTATAATATATCCATTATTGTTCTCATTCACATTCTTGAGATCAATTTGTTTTAATATGTGATATAGACAAAATTGAAAATTCATGTATGAATATTATTTTGATTTCATTCTCATCCAAAAGATTTTGATTGCTCTTTACTTGAAAAAATTCAAATCAATATATTTTTACATTTGATCTGTGATAAAACCCATACATAGAACTATCGACGTTGATGTATATTCACATGTAGAATGTATAAATAATGTGATTTCAAACTCTAATAGATACTATTAGATCAGAAATAAATTTAGTCATACGAATTGGAATACGAAAGACCATAGAAAAAATATGTATGAAAAAAAGATTAATTACTAAAATTAAGTAAGATTCATTCATAATGAAGATCTACTGCTTAATCTTTGATGCTGGTAGAAAATGATAATGAACAAGTTATACTGCATGATTAAGAATTTTATTAGGAATTTTCATTCAATCAATATCTAACATTTGATTTAGAAATATCTTGTCAAATACATAAATCTTTTATTTATTACAAAATATTTGTATAATATTAAATAAGAATCCTATTGAAGACTAAAACTAAATCATATTCATTAATATTATCATCATTCAATATATTTTCAAATACCAATGCATACATATATTTATTCTTACAGTTAACAATTTTAATGTTTCTGTTATGATAATATTTCGATATTTCAAAATTTACCTTTTCATTGTATAATATAATATTAAATCGTAAAATTTAATATGAAAACTCAATAATTTTCATAGAATAGTATATTTATTATTACTTTTTAAAAGGATATTAAACAATAAAAAGAGATATTTTTTCTTCTTTATGTAAAAAAAGCATGCTTTTTATTTGAGACAATAAAAATTAACCGCATAAAATCTTGTGTTTTCTTATCTCAAAAACAAAAAAAGTACATAGTTAAGTTTTACATTCGATATTGAAGTTGAATGTAGATGTGACCATTATTTTTTATTATACCACCACTGCACTCTCAATAGATATTATAACAGTTTTATTAGTCGAATTTTATCATAAATAAAGAATTCTTTTCGGTTTCTTTTACGACCGAACAATGCTTTTATTGTCATTGAATTATTACGTTTAGAACTATAAAAGTAGATAAATAGATATTCATTTCTTCTATCAACTTCTATTCAAAGACATGGCAATGACAAGCAGCAAAACACAATGTTTTAAATGCAAGATAGAAAAAATAACATATCCTTGTAAAGGATGTTCAAAAGAATTTTGTTTAATTCATTTAACAGAACATCAACAAATATTAAATGAAGAATTAAATCAAATTACCAATGACTATAATGAATTTAAACCAAGCATTAATAAACAAAAAGAACAATCACACAATTATTCAGTAATAAAAAAAATTAATCAATGGGAAATAAATAGAATTGAACGAACTCGACAACAGGCACAAGAGTACCGAGAACTTGTCATTAAATCATCCGCATCATTAACAGTTATTAATGATATTGAAATGAAATTTAATGATTTAAGTGAACAAATAAAACAAATTCATAAAGAAAATATATTTAATGAAATTAATTTAAATTATTTAACAGATCAATTGAAGAAAATGATACAAGAATTGAATAACCCACCAAATATTTCTATCGCACCAGATTCACAATCACAAGTTGATGAAGTTCTACTTATTGTATCAAGAAGTAAGCTTTTAAGAAATAATTTTTAAAAGAATAATTCTCATTTTCTATGAATTTATGCTAAAAAACTATAAAAACGAATGAGACTATTATTGATTTATTTATTAACTAAATCAATAACAATGATATTAGTAGAAATAGAAAGCTTGACTTATTTGTATGCAAGAAGAATATTCAATCTAAAGATAAGCAATAGCGATTGCAAGTTAAACTTAAATCGGAAGTCGGCACTTTGCGCACATGGCTAGGAACGTACTTAGAATAGTACTCAGTAAATAACAGGTGGAGTGAATTAGGTGAAATTAAAGTGGATTTTATTAATCAATAGTAGAGTCTCAGTTGTTCATATTTGGCGCAATTCATTTTCCTTGCTTTATTAAAGCTGCCAGATAATTTATTCTTACATAAGTCGTTGCGAATGAACGTATTACATGATTAGCAGTTCAAAAATAAATCAACAAAATGCTCTCATTTTTAATTTCTTTTCTAATAAAATATTTGTCAATTTGTTTCTCAAATAAATTTCTTTCTCTTCAAAACTTTGATTCGGAAAAATAAACTTTAAATTGTTTTTTCGTTTATAAAATTCTTTTCAAAATTTAACTTAGACAAAAACAAAATCAAAATTTCATTCAAAATTAATTTTTTTTTCTTTTTTTTTCATCATTTTCTAGAATACAGATGGGACAGATAGAGGCAAATTGCCATTACTGTGGCTGGTGGAAACGATCAAGGGCAAAAACTAAATCAACTCAATGGCCCTCAAGGAATTTTTATTGACAAAAATAAAAATATTTTCATTGCTGATCTTTGGAATCATCGTATTGTTGAATGGAAATGTGGTGCAAAGGACGGACAAATCATTGCAGGTGGAAATGGCAAAGGAAATGGAATGGGTCAATTGAATGAGCCATCAGATGTGATTGTTGATCAAAAAAATCATTCGATCATCATTGCCGATTCTGAGAACAAACGGGTTATACGATGGTTTAATCAAAAGCAACAAATTCTCATTCAGAATATTGACTGTTATGGCTTGACAATGGATAAACATGGATTTCTTTACGTTTCAGATTGGAAGAATAATGAAGTGAGACGATGGAAAATGGGAGAATATGGCAATGATGGAATTGTAGTGGCAGGTGGAAACGGAAAAGGATATCAACTCAACCAATTATATGGCCCTACTTTTATCGTTGTTGATGAAAATCAATCTATTTATGTATCAGATACCTACAATCATCGTGTGATGAAATGGAAAAAAGATGCAAAACAAGGAATAGTTGTGGCTGGAGGAAATGATCACGGAGAAAATCTCAGTCAATTGTTCCATCCTCGAGGAGTAGTTGTTGATCATTTAGGTCAAATCTATGTGGCGGATTGTATGAATCATCGAGTAGTGCGTTGGTGTGAAGGAAAAAGTGAAGGTGAAATTGTTGTTGGTAGAAATAAAAGAAGAAATCAATTAAATCGATCGAAAGGTCCAATGGGTTTATCTTTTGATGATGAAGGAAATCTTTATGTTGCTGATTTTAATTATCATCGAATTGAAAGTTTTAAAATAATTTTGTGAGTGGAGTTTTGATCTAAAAAAAAAGAAAGGAAAATATTTTGTGATTTGAATGGAATTAAATAAAAACTATTCGAAATGAAGATTTTGCCTTTGATGGAATTTCAAAATTGTCCAAAACTTGAAAATAAATCAATGAACATTTTCATTCAGATGGAAAGAGAAAAAAAGAATTACAGAAGAAAAATGAACAAGAGATCGAAATAAAATGAAAAATAAATAAAAAGTTTTTATTCAAATATATTTAATTGTAATTTTTTTTTAGTTGAGAAATGATTCGAAATTAAATTTTCTCCTTCTTTATCAAAAGAATCAAATTAATGAATGTTTTTTATGAAAAGATGTCGATTGTCTTCTTGTTTGTTATAGGAGTTTGACGAAAAGAAAAGCATTTTGAAGGTGTGAGCTTTGTTTTCTCACTTCTTAATCTGTATTGACATTTCTTGAGGGTGTGGGTGTGAACATCTACCGAGACGCGGTTCATGGCTAGGTATGAGTGTGGGTTGGGCGTTGATGGCCTATTCATCAACACCCACACCCTCAAACGCTTTTTACTTAGATCATCAAATAACAGAGTGGGTGTGGGCATGGCTTGGATATAGTTAAAAGGAGCATGATACTCACACAGAATTCGAAGTAATCCTTTTCATTGAGAATTACTTTTTCTTCTAAGTGTTTGTGCTATATGGAATAAATACTAATGAAAACATTCGCCTTTTCTTATTATATGTAAGTCAAAAGTATATCTGAAATTACATTTTTATTGGATTTTTATTGACTCGAATCAACACGATTAGAAGAAATGAAATGGTTATCAAATTTCAATTAGTAATATGTGAATAAATGCATCTGTTATATTTCAATTAAATTGACTTAAGATATTATCTGTATTTTAGAAATAAAAACACACATTTTTTCATCATATTCTTTTATTTCAAAATCAACTATGAATACAATCAAGATACATTGTTATATTTTTTTCATTATTCTCAGGTAAATAATTATTGATTTTTATCATTCAATTTGTTAACATGCATTGATTGTATATTTTAGCATAACAGGTTTGATTTCTATTCTATATTATATGTTTATATGTATTAGTTTATCACTTTCATAGTTCAAATCAAATGTCAAAAAGTATGCAAGAAAACATCTCAATACGGTCTATGTTCAACGAATAGTGCATGTGGATGTTTTCATGTGTTAGGTGCTAATTATAATACAGGCATTTGTGGTTTTCGCTGGCCAGCATGTTCTCGCCTTGTTCTATGTAATTCTTCAGACAACTCATGTTCTCAACCTGATACAACCTGTGTGAGACATCCTCAATGTAATGATCTTCCTGTTTGCTATCCAGTTACAATGACTAATCAAAGTATCTGTCCACCAATGAAAAGTGAGTGAATCTTGGTGGATGATAGATGCAACATTCTTATTCACACCCTCTAGATATTTGAAACGATAAATTTCATCTGTTTTAGATAATATCAATGTTAAGTGGGAACAAAATGCCACTACTGTGGCTGGTGAAAATGTATCAGGACAACAATTAAATCAACTCGATCGTCCTCGTGCCATCTTTATTGACGAAAAGAAAAATATTTTCATTGCTGATTCTTGGAATGATCGTATTATTGAATGGAAATATAATGCAAAAGAAGGACAAATCATTGCAGGTGGAAATGGCAAAGGAAATGAAATGGATCAATTGAATGAGCCATCAGATGTGGTTGTTGATCAACAAAACCATTCGATCATCATTGCTGATTATAAGAATAGCCGTGTGGTTCAATGGGTGGGTGAAAAGCAACAAATTCTCATTCAAAATATTGTTTGTTATGGCTTGGCAATGGATAAACATGGATTTCTTTATGTTACTAATGATAGAAAGAGTGAAGTGAGACGATGGAAAATGGGAGAATATAACAATGATGGAATTGCAGTGGCAGGTGAAAATGGACTAGGAAGTCAACTCAATCAACTCGATCATCCTCGTTTTATCTTTGTTGATGAAGATCAATCTGTTTATGTAGCGGATGTAGGTAATCATCGTGTGATGAAATGGAAAAAAGATGCAAAAGAAGGAATAGTTGTGGCTGGAGGAAATGATAAAGGAGGAAATCTTAATCAATTGTCTAGTCCTCATGGAGTAATTGTTGATGATTTGGGTCGAATCTATGTGGCAGATTGGGGGAATAATCGAGTAATGCGTTGGTCTGAAGGAAAAGAAGAAGGTGAAATTATTGTTGGTGGAAATGGTGGAGAAAATCATCCAAATCAATTGAGTCAACCCCATGGTTTATCTTTTGATGATGAAGGAAATTTATATGTTGCTGATTATTGGAATCATCGAATTCAAAAATTTGAAATAATTCTGTGATGAAATTTTGATTTTGAAAAAATATAAGACATATTTCACTGAAGAAATGATTGAGAAATAAAACTAAAAATGAAGTTTTATGATTGAAAATTAAGGAAAAAAGTCGAATAAAGTTTTGATAAGAAAATAATGAAGAAAAATCTTTTTGGTTTTTTTTATCAAACTTGAATTTAATTGATAACTTCCATTCAGAAATTCGAATGAATAAATGTTAAATTCTTCCTCTTTTGTTAATTTTTGTTGAATTTTACAGAAGAAAAGAAAAGAAATATTTTATGAAAATTTAATATTAAAAATTGAATCGAATGTTGAATTGTCAAAATGAATTAAATAAACATTTTTATTTAGATGATAAGAAAAAAAAAAAAATTTTTTGAAATGATACAAAGTTCAAATTTGGTTTTTATTTTCAAAGATTTTTGATAAAATGAAAATATTTCATTATATTTAGTTCATATTTTTCTAACTGTAATCTTTAATTATCCTCAAAAAACCATATCTTTTTTAGATGGAATCGAATACGAGAAAATCCGACGTTAAAAAAGTTACAACATTTTGAATTAAAATAAAATTAATATAACTATTCGATTACCATATAAGATGCGTAATATATGATTTAGTATCGTGATCACATGGCAAATGAGTGTATGAATAATAATATACGGAATACTATAAATATACATATTGATACTTTCCTTTTTACACATGCGAAATTATGCGTCATTTATCGTATAAATAAAAAGGTTTAGATAATATCTTTACGTCATACCTATGCATTTGCTTACGTATATTTTTTTTTTCTGACGTCAATACTCAATATAACGCACTAAGAAAAACGCCTATAAATACACTGATATTTGTATAATAGATAAACTACACATATTAACACAAACTACTATTCAATTCGTGAGAAAGAAATGTCTTCTTACTATCATCATTCAGAAAGACGAGAGCAACGTTATGTTCAAAATCCTGGTATGTAGATGAAGAAAAACTAACGTAATATAACAGTGTTGACTATTTGTTCTGTTTTACATTGTCTAGTTTCAACTGTTGGTTTTGGAAGTAGAATAAATATTCCAGTGAGCATTGCTCCACCACTAAATGTGATCAATCCAGTCATGAATGGAGGATCGTTCATTGATGATAGGGGAAATGGTCTTCTATACTCATACCGTGAGCAAACCTATACTCTACCAGGCCGTGTGACCTATTATGAATGGAGTGGCTAGAAGTTTTGAACTTTGAAAGATATTGTAAAATAATCATATAATTCTGTGAATTTTATTATAAACAGTTCTTTTTTTTTCGAAATAAAATCAATTGTATTTTTCACTATATTTACAACTTGGGAATAAATGCCAAGATTCATCTGTAATTTTTTTCTTCATCTTGTTGTGCATACCTAGTAGATCGATGAAGTTTGTGAAAAAGTGTTCAAGAATTTTCGTCAATCTGAAAGTTAAGACAAGTTTCGAAAGTGAACATATTTTCAATTGATATTCCACTTTGAGGGTGTGGGTGTTTGACAATAATAAAAAAAATAAGTTTTACATTAAATAATAGAATATTTTCTATTTTTATATGATTTAATGTAACAGTGAGAAGATATCTCATCTATCGTTTTCTAATTTTTTTTCCTAATGAGATATTTGAAAATATTATTAAATAAATATTTAAAATAACAATTCCTTTGAAAAATATAAAAGTTTTTTCATTTAAAATATTCTGTTTTTTTAGAAATTAATTTATCTAAATATAAGACAAAATAAAATAAAACAGTTTTTTCTTCACTAATAAATTAATATTCTTATTGAATATTTACATTTATTTATAGACTTTATATATTTTATAGTTCAGAAATATATTGAATAGAAAAACAATAAATATTAATTTCATATAAATTTTATGATCATAATAAAAGATCTATTAAAAAAAATTATAACTAGAAAGTTACTCTTTATCTTTTATTTAACCGAATAAAATCGCTGTAATTATGAATTCTTTTAGCAAAAACACCCATAAAGCATATTGAAGAATGTAAAATAAGTCTTTTTCACGTGTCTTATTCCATTATAATACAAAACAACTAATTCTCATCGTCAGCACGAATCGTTTACATTTTTCATACGAATGTGAATGAAACGAAAAAGAAATCATTGAAGTATTGATCGATTCTTTCATTCTTTGAGAAATGTAAATTTTTTTGCTGAAGAGCGGAGAGAAGAAAAAGCAGTCAGTCACTTTTAATTTTTCATCTGACGAAAAACGTCCTTGCACACAATTAACAGAGAAAGGTAGGTGTATGAGATATGCAATATATTAAATCTTTTATTGTTAAAATAATTTTTTAACTATACAGAGTGTCTTTGGCGATTTAATACGCTTCTGTTTGTTATATTAAAATGCGTTCTGTACTAATAAATACTTTCAGAATATGTTCTTTACAGGAAATCCAATTGAACAGAGAAGACACATGCATCTAATCTGGTGTACTGTAGAAAATAAAAGTTGACTAGTAAACCCGTACGGTTATAAAAAATCAATTATAAATGCAGGAAGCATCTTGGAAGTGTGCGTGTGAAATGCGAGGAATAGGGCAATTTTAAGAAGGAAAATCGGTTCCTAGGAACGGCTTGATAACTTGACTTTCTCTCCCAGTATTGATAAACTAAAGAATCCTGTTGGTAAGTTCATCGATAGAAAATCTAGTATATTCAAATGAGATTTGTATAAAAAACTGTAAGACTATTTTAACTCTAACATAAAAGAAGTTCTACACTATAGACTATCATCTCTGAGGATTGTTTTAGGCATGTTTTGATGTTAAACACTGATTTTCACATCTCTTTGTCTATATTCCAATAATGTGATAATAATTTAGAGCGAATCGAAGATCTTCTTGGGTTATAACTACTAGTTATAAACCCACACCTACACCCTCAAGATCTCTATGATAATAAATGAGTCTCGTACTTATAACTTCAGAATGTTCTCTTCTTCAAGTTCTTTTACAAATTCAGATGAGAGTAACCACATCACACAATATCTATAATATAATTATCGTTTTTTTTAGGAAGAATAAACTAACAAATATTTCATCAGTAATGCATCTCTAAAATTTGTTCTTAATTGATTTCACCTTTTCAGACCCACAATCAATATCACCACGAAAAGAAGTAACAGCTGCAGTATCACCGCAGCCAATACTTGGGAAGTTACCTGAATCTAATTGACAAAACATGGAATTTGAAAACCCTCTTATTTACAAGAGTGGAGACGAAGACATAGAGCTGGCTGTAAAACGAACGACTGCATATGATGCATCATTAGAATGCATAGTAAGTAGTGTTGTGTTTAGGGGTGCTGATTTAGTATTAGCACTGCATTTTCATATTGCTAAGTTTATCAGAAAAAGTTACGCGATGGGATATCTATTTTAGAAAATCAACAAAACAGTTAATTGTATCTGTAGTAAATGTTATTCTTGTAAAACACGATCAGGGAGAGAGTATTGAAGCTTTGCGGGTAGAAGGGAGGAAATCGTTTGTACATAAAACCGCCTTGAGGATGTGGGTGTAAGTAGGTGTGAGCGCCGGATGAATCTCATACCCTTAATCACACTAACACCCACACCCTATGATAACAATCAACACTTTTTAAAGAACTCTAAATGAATAATTTTTTTAATATTTAGTCTGTATCAGAAGATACAAACAATATTATACCGCATGATCCTTCACAACCACGATCGTAAGTATTTGATTTATTTATTTGAAATATATATCAATCATTTCAGATCTTTATTTCATCGGAAAGCAATATTGATTTTAATTATCATTGTCGTTCTTAGTCTAATAACTATTATTAGTATTACAATATGGGTCATTTTCATTAAAAAGGCCAAAACAACAATCAATACAACAACAATAAATGGTAGAGTTTTCTTATAAAAGAAAAAGTTTCAAAAATAAATTATCTTTCAATAAAAATGTATTCTCTTCAAAATTTTTACTCTAAAAAATACAACTTTCAAACACTTTATTCTTTTCATTATTTTTTAGAACCAAAATTCAACAAATGGAAACAAAATGCCATTACTGTGGCTGGTGGAAATGATCAAGGACAAGAATTAAATCAACTCGATAGCCCTTATGGGATCTTTATGGATAAGAAGACAACTATTTTCATTGCTGATAATCATAATGATCGTATTGTTGAATGGAACTGTGATGCAAAAGAAGGACAAATCATTGCAGGTGGAAATGAGCAAGGAAATCAAATGAATCAATTAAATGGTCCAACAGGTGTAATTGTTAATCAACAAAATTATTCAATCATCATTGTTGATTCGGGCAACAGAAGAGTCATTCAATGGTTGAATCAAACTCAACAAATTCTCATTCAGAATATTGATTGTTACGGCTTGGCAATAGATAAATATGGATTTCTTTATATTTCTGATTCGGAGAATAATGAAGTGAGACGATGGAAAATGGGAGAATATAACAATGAAGGAATTATAGTGGCAGGTGGAAATGGACAAGGAAGTCTACTCAATCAACTTAATTCTCCTAGTTTTATTTTTGTTGATGATGATCAATCTGTTTATGTATCAGACGAGAACAATAATCGTGTGATGAAATGGATAAAAGATGCAAAAGAAGGAATAGTGGTGGCTGGAGGAAATGGTGAAGGAAGAAATCTCAGTCAGGTGTCTTCACCACAAGGATTGATTGTTGATGATTTGGGTCAAGTTTATGTGGCAGATTGCAATAATCATCGAGTAATGCGTTGGCATCATAGAGAAGAAGAAGGTGAAATTGTTGTTGGTGGAAATAGTGGAGGAAATCAATCAAATCAATTGCATTGTCCCATGGGTTTATCTTTTGATGATGAAGGAAATATTTATGTTGCTGATTTTTTAAATAGTCGAATTCAAAAATTTGAACTAATTTTGTGAATGAAGTTTTTTGTTAAATAAAAAATGATTTGTTAAA